ATTTTAAAGTGTTGTCTGATTAAAAAATTACAAGTGTTAAATAGTTGCAAAATGTTGGGTGTCCGGACATTCGTTGAGATATGTTCGAAGGTAAGAACCGAAATTGTGAATTTGACCGATTACGATTTTTTAAGTGGATATTTTTAAATAAGCTGAGATTAAGAGCAAGGGATTATAAATGGTTATATTAGGATTATAAATGCTGATCAGTTTATTATTAGTTTATTCATTTTCGAGCTGCATTGGGTCAGCAAACTATGCAATTCAGAAGAAATTAAATCTCCTAAAAAGGAAGGGTAAATTTGTTTGCAAACAATTAAACGAAAATGTTTGTTCGTTCGTTCCCCTTAATGGTTTACCGTCAAAAATGTACTTAATTGTTGCTGTAACTTGACGTTCTTGAAGAATAGCAAGACATGTTGCAAACAATTGTCAATTTCATACATGCTTTGACATATTCTCCATATAAAGTTATTTTGCTTGTTTCAGCCTTATATCCCAAGAAGATATCTCGATAAGTAGGCATTTTAGATTTTCAGACGATTTAAGACATTTTGACAAAAAATTTCCAATATAAATTTTAACATAGCCTTCAAAGGGAGAAACATTTTATAATGTTGATTAATATTTTCACATAGCCCCCAAATAAGAGTCTTGGAATATTTTAGTCATATTATGTGTCCATCTCAATGAATAGAAAATTTTAAAGAATTTTTGTATATACCAACTGTCCCCAACCCATAGTGGCGTGTATATTAAATTTTTCATTCCGTTTGCAACACCTAAAAATATTCACCGGAGATCCCACAAAGTATATATATTCTTGATCAGAGTCAGAATAAACTTCAATGTCGATTTACGCATATCTGTCTGTTGAAATAGAGAATAGAGGTCGCAATATTTAAGATAGAGCCCGAACACGTTTTTCAAACGAATTGGATTTTATTTGATATTTTGTGTTCTCATTGTAAAACACATCTCAGTGCCAAAAGTTATTAATATTGACCCAAGTTTCAGGTTGGTACCTCCCAATATTCGAAGTTTGAGGATTTTTGACTTGTTTTTCAACCCAATTGACTGTAATTCGGTATTTAAGATTTGATTGGGTGTCGAATTACACTAGCGCAAAATTATCAATATCGATCCCCGCTGTGGTATAGCCCTATTTAACGGCAGCCCCACTATTATTAAATCAATACCAATTCTCACGTCTTTATCAGTAGGTTCAAGGTCCTATCATAACATGAGTTTTTTCCTGGGAGGCCCCATTAATTTTAAATATTTTGAATGTCAAACTCATGGTGAAAGGCATCAAAAGTTCGGCCCTGTTCAACTTAAAATCGTTTGTAATTGTTTTAGAAAGATTTTTTTCTGTGAACCATTTTTTAAGACTTTTACGAGATTATCCTGATCGTAGATTTTTTAAAGAATTTTATGAGAATGAAAACATATGTAATTAATTACCATTGTAAGAGGATCTCTATTTGACCCTTTGTGACCATAATAATAAAACAATTTTCTGTTCACAGATTTAATGCCACTATCCTAAATAGGATATGAGCAAAATTTTGCATCGCTACATCCTTGCATTTGGGAGATACAGTACATTTTTTCTGAAAAATAAAAGTCCCATATCAAGAAAACCAAATGTAAAAACGACGGAAATAATTTAAAATTATTCTTTACAAGTATTAAAAATAATTCTGATGATAGAATTCACACAATTCGAATACGAAGCGATTTAAAAAATTTGGACTGTATACACAAATTAGTACTGTACACATTTTTGCCCGATTCTCTTTATTGAAAAGCTCATAACTTTACCAAACATTTGATTGTTCAGATTTTTCTTTTGATATGTGCCACAATCGGGTCTTGACATATGAAATCCAAAAAACATATATCAACTAGCTGCATATAAAACATTTTGTTGCTTGTGGGCAAAATTAGGCCATAATATGAACAACAAATTTTTATATTGATTTTTGAAAACCCATGCATGAATTTTATTCAAGTGAATTGTTTTGAATTAAAAAAACATACATACATACATGGTAGTAATTATTTCGAATTTGTTCGATTCGAATTCTACAAAAACAGGCTGTTAAAAGGGTGATTTTTAAGAGCTATAAAAATATATCTATAGATTTTGCGCGACTGAAGAGGTATGGTCCAATGATGTTTCTGGTTGATCTTCACTACAAATTCGACAATTCTGCTTATTTACGTACCCAATGAGTTTCGTCATTAGACACAATTTTTCGATAAAAAATTGGATCGGCGGCCAAATTTTCAAGACAACATTAAATTATACGGTGAGACAAAAATATATGTAAACCCCAAAAGGAAAATTTCGCAGTATTTCAATGTTCAGAGATATGCCGCGATAAATTTTTTCCTGACTACCCTATTATACATGAAGAGATAGCGTCATATCTTGTATGTATTGTATGTATTTTTTGAATTGATATCGGTTTACCCTAAATCCAAGTTGTACCAAATTTAGTACCATTTAGTACACATAAATACGAATTTCGAAAATTATTTAAATACCTCAATGCCATACTCCAACAGAAATATTAATTCCAAATATTTATTATTCCAGCTCTATCGGTTCATCTAAATCCAGTACAATAAGTACAAATATGCAAAACTACATATCCCAATCCTACACCCCAAAAAGAATCCTAACTCCAAATTTCAGAATTCTAGTTGTATCGATTCTCCCAAAATTAAGATTGTACTAAATTTAGTAACATTTAGTACATTATACATTATAAGTACGAATTATCAAAACTATCTTCATACTTCAAATCTACACGCAAATAGTAATCTTAATTTCAAATGTTTAATATTCCAGACCTAAATCCAAATTGTATCAAATTGAGTAACATTTAGTACACATAAGTATATATTTCCAAAACTACATCCATACCTCCTATCACACACTATAAGAATAACCTTATTTCCAAAATTCAGTGTTCCAGCTCTATCAGTTCACCTAAATCCTAATTGCACCAAATTTAGTACCATTTAGTACACATTTGTAGAAATTTCCAAAACTTCCTACATACACCAATCCTACACCCCAACAGTGATCCTAACTCCTAATTTCGGGATTCTAGCTCTATTAATTCACCCAAAATTCAAATTGTACCAAATTTAGTACACATAAGTACGAATTTCCCAAACTACCAACACATCTCAATTTTACAATGCAGTAGTAATCTTATTTCCAAATTTCAGTGTTCCAACTGGTGCTCCAGTGGATGAACTGACAATCAAAATTGTGCGGAATATAGTACCAATTAGTACTTATCGTAGACATAAGTACAAATTTCCAAAACTACCTACATATCACAATCATACACTTCGACGGTTATTTTAATTTCAAATTTCATGATTTCAGCTCGTTTCTCCAAACTCAAATTGTACCAAATTTAGTACTGTGTAGTACATTTCGTATACATGAGTACACGCTTTCAAAACTACCTTCTTATATCAACCCTATCGCTCAACCTTATTTCGCATTTTAAATTTTAAGTTTTTAGCTCTATCCATTCACATGCTATGAAGCTGTACCAAATTTAGTACATTTTAGTACTTTTCGGATACTTATAGTTCGAATTTCCAAAAAAAAACCTTTACAAATGGGACCACATTTAGCACTTTTCGTGTCGATTTAGTACTAATTTCCAAAAATACACACTTATTTGACATATATGGACCATGAGTGACCCTCACCCCAAATTTGAAGATTCTAGCTTCTTCATCCGTTTGTCTGGACGTTGATGAATCGTTAAGTAAGCCAGTCAATCACTTTACTCTTACATTAGTATAGTATAATTTACCCCTGATCCTTTTATTTTTTTTACCAGATTTTTTTTTTAATTCTCGATATGAAATGTACACATTTTTAAATTTGCAATGATTTTCATTTATGTTTTTTTTTTAAGATAAAGAATAATACAATTTTATGACCACCATTTCCTCTACGATATGTTGTCAGGTCAATTTGTTACCAAAATTTCAAAGAATCGCTATCAGTGATAAAAAATGACTTTCACTTTTCTGGTGTATGAGTGTGTGTTAGTGTATGTGTCTGCATTAAATGGGTTAATTACGTGCGTTCGGTCAATATTGAATGTTACCCTTTTCAATGGAATTGTTAGTTAACAAAATAGGAACAACGAATACAGGAAGTAATTATCAAAATAAGTCAATATTACCAACCAAGTTGAATGACGAAATTTTGTACCAAGAGTCTAGAATATGTTTTCTGGGAATATACTCGAACGGAAAATTAGGATAAATGCCGACAACGCTTTAAAAACCTTAAATGAAACTTAAGAACTTTAAAATAGGGTAATTCGGGAAGTAACGTAGGTTTGGCTCATTTATGTGTACTATTTTTCAAGGGTTGTCTCTGAAATTTCTTATATAGATCAAGGCAATCTTCATATACCCTCAATTATATTTTGAGGGGTTTAAAAATATGTCCATGAGGATTAAAATATTAATAACACCAACCATTCACTATTTATCTATCATTCACAATAGTGCACAATAACAGCATTAGCAGCTGTTAACGTCAACGTTAACAGCACTGCTATCTTCAGCACACATTCGTTGTGGCGCTGACGTCGACTGATATTCAAATTTGTCTACAACTGATCGGCACGGTCAGTCGTCGCCGACGATGGTGTTAAACTAAATTAAACGACGTTGTCGCGCTCTTTCTCTCTGTTGCTGCCATCAACAACAATGGTTGTGGTAATGAGTATAGCGGGTGATGGCAGCAGCCGAATTCGCTGCATTACTTTTTGTTATTATTTTTTCTTTCTGTTGTATATGGCGACAATAAATGTCTGAACAAAAACAAAACAAATTAAGTTAGACCAGCCATCTCATCCCAGCTAGCCAGTGGCTGGCTGGTCAGTCAGGCAATAATGCATCAACACCAAATTAACAATTGTGCGTCTGCCGTCGGACCAGTGTGAATGAAGCCACTAACAACGGCAACACCATCACACTGCAATGCCAAACAGACCAATACAATGCAAATGCGCAGCAACAATAAATTGGTCGCGGCATAGTATTTTATGGCGACAACAACGATCGTGTAATAACGACAGCGGCGACAACAAATTATTCGCTGTTTAACGTCGTCGTTAAAATGCTCATTTGCGTTTGCATTCGTTGCTATTATTGGTGTAGTGTGTGAGTGTTGTTGTTGCTGCTGCTGTTAATAGTATTCCTATTGTTACAGTTCCTTTTGGCGAGGAGTTATTGTTGTTATTGAGTGTGAATGCACAAAAATAATCATAATAATAATATTAATGACCAGTTGGCACAGTGTTTTAAATCAAGGGAAAGGAGGGAATCTAATTGGAAATGAAGGATTCAAAATCGTATTAAAGCGAAAAAACAGAGATATTATTAGGAAAATAAAATGTTTATTATTGATATCAATAGTCGGCATATTATTTACATGTAATGCAATAATTTTGTCGAGTAATTATGGTGCACAGGGAGGCAATCTGGCCCAGTATAATGATTTATGGTTAGGTATTTATCGATCATAATAATACATTGGTCAAATTGACCAATGTATTAAGTTTATATTACATTTGTTATTGTTCGAAGTAAGTAAAAACAATTTCCTGGCCAAGACAAGAAATGGTAGAAATAGCTCATTTGTATTTAACGTATTATTTTCTTATTTTGAGGGTTTAGACGCATTTTCCTACCGAAGTGGCTGTAATTTGGCATAGAGAATCACATCTATCAAACGAAGTGGTTATAAAAAGACTGACCTTTGGCAAAACTATGCAGTATTAAAAAAATAAATAATAAAATAAGAAAGCAGCTCAAGGATTGACATTTCACATGAAAAATATATATCCTAAAAAGTTTAGTAGGTTACCTGAAAAAGTCATGAAAATGATAAATTTAGATCTAAAAATTTTAATTCATTATACCTTCTATACACTTTGATACGGTTTCAGACAATTTTGATTTTATGCATGTCCGTCCACCTGGCCGCCTGGTTCGCACGAAATCTTGCACATTGTAATATTTCTTCCAAACTTAGTTCAAGTTCGATGATGGGGAATATCGGTCTCCTCTTTATGGTACCTCCCCCGGACGGGATATCCGATTTGAACGTTACTTTGTACAACCTATTACCTTTACAAAGTCTAGATAAAGTCCAAAGATGGGACTCATGATAAATCCATTATTAGGCGTAAGAGATGTGCGATCGAAATCAAGCTTTGTACAACCTATTATCATTACCAAGCTTAGATCAAGCACGTAGATGGAGCCAATTGGACCAATCCTTCTGGTAAATAACCCACAGATGGTCAACATCTTCAATATTTATAAATCCAATATTAGACGATTGATATGTCCGATTTGATCCATACTGTGCACATTGTAATATTTCTTTAAAACTCAAATAAATTCGAAGATGGGGAAAATTGGTCCACTCCTTCTGGTACTTCGCCCACAAAATAGTCAAAATTGTACTGAAAATACATTTTATAATATCAAGCGAACTGAGCGTCCGATTTAAGGCATACTTTGCAAAATGTTGTCATACATACCGGTGTAAAGTTGGAAGGTCCGACTCTCGGCCCACCACTTCTGATACCTCCCCCACAAAGGATCACAATTTTGAACATTTGTAAATCTCAGTAGCGAACGCAATATGAAAATTCAGTCCAAACATTGCACATTGTAACGTTTTTATCAAACCTAGATCAAGTCTGAAGATCAGACCATCGGTTCACACCTTCAGGTACCTCCTCAAAAAATTGCTAATCCTATGCCAAGCGAATGGAATTTCCGATTAGATTCAATTCCGTTGCAAATCTTAATACTTTTACCAAACATGGATCAAATCCGAAGATGGGATCCGTCTGTCCTAGCCTTTCTAATAATAAATAAAGATTGAAGATTGCAACTATCGGCTTTATAAGTGCAACATCTTTGGTATCTCGCCCACAAACTGTCACAATTATGAAAAATTATTAGGTTAATAAAAAATACTCCTCCTCGGCATTCGACAGTAATTCCATAGACATCCGTAAACCATTGGCTGAGGGTATATATCTGTCGGTAACACCGACTGATACTTTTTTACTTGTTTCCATGGCACATTTTTCGAGGAGGAATTTTACCCTTTATGAATCGGAACTGCCAATTGAACCCTTATTCCAAATTACAACGTTGAAAATATGGAGTTATTTACAATGTCGGCTTTGAATCAGAGTCATGATGTTGAGTTGACATGACTTGTAAAATAGCGCTAGGGCCTTCAAAATACTTAAAATGTGGTGGAACTTATATGGATCCCAACTAAAGCATAGTCTATAATATAAAACCATTAGCGAACTCCCAGTCAATATTTTTAACATTCTTAATACTTCTCCATCTAATACATCTTCCAAATAGGGTTAACATATAAAATTAATAAATCTCATAAGAAGCGAAATGAATTCTACAAATTGATACAATGTTTGACAACTGAACTTTCTAATTAATTTATTAGAAATTTTCCGACAAATATGACTATTAGGTCTAAGTCCGCATTTTTTAAGAATTTCGTCAGTAATCATTTTATATTGGAATATAGCCACAGGTCTGAATAATTGATGTTTTCCCTCGAGACATCAAAGGTTTCTCAACCATAAAATCCATTATTTTTATATGAACTATATGACTTTATTTAAAATGCTTCGGCATGTCCGGTTTGGGCCTAATATGCACCGATTTGTTGTATGATTTGTTGCCATTTTAAAGGCATCTTTATTATGCCTCCCTCGTAGAAGTCCTGCTCTCTATTTGCAAAAAAAAAAAAAAAAAAAAAACTCTAGTAGTCGATTTTCAAAATCCTCCCTAGATATCAATTTTTTGTCATTATAGAAATTTTGCAATGCAAGAAAAGTATGATAATCGCTTGGTGCCAAGTCCGGACTGTATGGCGGATGCAATAAAACTTCCCCATCAAGCTCCCTAAGTTACTGGCTCCTGGGCGATGTTATGACTGTTAACATGCCAATCGAAATTTTCGACGACCGTCATATCCGTACGAGGTGCGTCTTTAACGGAATCTACGAAACCAAAATTGCACATAATAGGCTGTTACAGTATCGGAACCAGAAACATTCACAGGTTTAGTCGCTTGGCTTGCATTTTCGCCTTTGTCGAAGAAAAAACTGTAAAATGTGCGAATTTTCTCTTTGTTCACTTCCATTTTTAACACCCTGAAGTCGGAAACTCATGCAAAACCATCAGGTTTTAGACATAAGAATTATTTTCAATATAGAAACTACATATGATTTAATGAAACTCATGCCAAATTTCTAAATTTTATTCTTGGTTTTAGGATTTGTTGTCAGGACCATTAAGAAATAATCAGAAAAATATTACATAATCTTGAAAAAATATTACTTACTTACTTAGCTGGCTTGTTACAGAACGGTTGTTCCATAAACCGAGCATAAAAAAAGGTTTCCAAGCGCGTCGGTCTTGTGCGCAAGTCCACCCATTTGGAAGACCACGTTCCATGATGTTGTTTTCAACTTGGTCTTTCCATCTAATTCGTGGCCTTCCCCTTCTACAGGAACCATCAGTAGGCTCGTTTTTATATGCTTTTTGAGCTGGGGCATTTTCATTCATCCGCACAACATGGCCTAGACATCGTAGTCGCTGCAGCTCAATACGACTGACTATGTTGATGTCCGCGTATAAATTGTAAAGCTCGTGGTTCATTCACCGTCGACGCAGATCGGGCCGTAGATCTTTCGGAGTATTTTTCTCTCGAACCATTATATCGGTGTCATAGGCGTAGGCGAGTAACATGCGTTGTTTGGTGTACAGAGTGCCATTTCTGTTCACCTTTACGTCTCGTATGACCTTTTCCAGCAGGATGTTAAAAAGATCACACGACAAACTGTCACCTTGTCTGAATCCTCGTTCGGTATTGAAGGGCTCCGATCTGTTGAAAATATTGAAATAAATGATGTTTACTATATTTAGTACATTTTATACCGGTGTTTGACATTTTCGACTTTTACAACTTGTTGACAGTCGAAAACCTAAAAATTTGTCACACAGACCATCCCAGTTCTCAATTAAATAATACCCATTTTTCCATACATGTATTCCGTTTGAAAACACTTTGCCTTATAATTATGTATTATTCATTTAAAAAAAAGGTTCTTATAAATAGGTCCACCACAACAAACTTAAATGTGGCAATGAGTATTGCTGCTGCCACATGCAACATTTAACATTGTCAACAAACCAAAACCAAAAAAAAAGTAAATGGAACTGAATGAACAGCAGCCAAAGTTATCGCTTAATGCGATTGTTGTTGTTGTTTTTGTTATTGGCTATTTGGTGATATTTGTTTTCAAGTTTGCATAATTTTTTGGGTGAATTATCGGCGGCGTGAGCGCTTAACAGCCAGTCAACCAGTCAACTCATTGCTCACTCACTTTGGTTGTGGTAATCAACATTTTGTTTACCAACATTTTACACGACGATTAACGAACAACAAAAATATATAAAAACAAATAGGAGATCGTGTCCGAAGCAATGACAACAAACGGGCAGCAGGCAGGCCAGGCAAACAGTTGGGCTAGAATGTAAACAAAACAGAACTTGGAGTTGCATAGATCAACAGCAGCGGGAACAACAACAAACGGGGCTTTTGTGTTTTCTCTTGGTAGGTGAAGTCAGTCAACAGTTCTCGACTCTTTACTACTTCTCATTGATTACTGTCCTGTTAACTGCCAGCCTGCCTGCCTAACTGGTCAAATGCAGCCTTAGGCAGGCCTCTGCATGTCCAATGACTGTTTAAATTTTTGTCGCGGTGTTAAGTTTGTTTTTGTTTTTGCGCGCTCCTTCGTTTAGTTAACTTCTTACTTCACACAGCCGGGAGCTCACACAACACTAAGCCAGCCAGCCATAACATACAACAACAAAGAACAACAACAGAAATACTACGGACACACGTGCAGGCAGGCAGGCAGGCAGGCAACCAACCGACCGACCGATTGTTTTGTGTGTGTCG